GGGGGGGGGGCGGGCAGGAAATGAAATGGCAGAGGGGGCTCGATGTTCTCTGTGCTGGGAGTCAGGATTTCTCGACAAGGAGTCCTCGCAGGGGGAGCTCTGCTCTCAGCTGGGATTGTGTCCAGCTTGAGGTCACTTCATCAAAGTGTTGATTTCTGAAGATCAGTGGTCAGTAAGAAATGTCTATTTTTAAGTATGGTTTTATACAGTTATTGGAAGTGGTTGTTGCCCCCTTGGATTCCCCCCTCCCCTCTTCTTGCCTTTGGGCACAGACTGTTGCATCCCCACAATCCCTGTTCATGCAGTGCTGGGATGTGTGATGCTGCTGCTTTCTGACTCTGTGGCAATGTGGTGGTCTTCTTCTTACCATCACTCAGTGACAGCTGCTCTAAAGAATCCTCAAGTTAAAAATTCAAAGTCTAGGTTACAAACCACAGCTTTGCCTTGGAGAGCCAATGCACTGCAATTCATGTGCATCACTGGAAAACACAACCATAGGTAGCAAAGAAGGGTTGTAAATTATCTGTGCACTGCAGCTTTACTGGACTTGCCTGCCAGGGCTGACCATAACCATCAGATGCTGTATTTGTTACTGGTTTACTGGGTAGACTGTGAATGGGAACACAGGGAATCTGCAGGGTGACCTGTGCTTCAGAAAGGCCTTAAGAGAGGAGGGTTTCCAGAGTCTGGACTCAATTCTTCCTGAAGCAAGTGTTGAAATACCTTTAGAGCAACTCCAGAATAAATTGTACCACCACAGAGCTGGGTACTGTTGTGACTGAAAAGTCTCTGTGGCATCCTGCTGTAACACCTTGTGCTTGCAAAGTTAAACCAGTATCTCAGGCCCCAGAGTTTGCTCCCTGCTTTTCTTGTAGGTCTTTGATGTTGTTGCTCTGCACTGATACCAAAACTACACACAATATGTGGTTGGATACTCTTTGCTGCTTATAAAACATGATAATACATAATTACAATATAATTGAGAGATTCTTTTGAGTGTGTTTAGTGTCTTCATCCACAGATTGCTCCACAGACACAAACCAAATCCTTGCTAGGCTTTTGTGAGGTGTTTTAAGTTTTACCTCTGCCCTTTGATTCCCAAAAGTGAGGCTGAGGGAGAGTTTGGAGCCATGTGGTGCCAGCAGCCACCAAGTGTGAGGTGGTTGTCACATCATATCCCACCAAGCCAGAGTGGGCTTGGAGGAACCTGGAGAGAAACAAGGTGTGGGAGAAAAGGGGCAAAGAGGGGTTTTGGATGTGAGTAACTCCAGGGAGAACAGTGTGAAAGGCTCTGCTGAAGCAGCCTTGCCTGGAGCTGAGGTGGCACTAGACTCCATCCCATCAGATGGGATGGTCCCTGTCACAGAAATGGCCTGAGCAAAATAGGCACAAAAATTGACACGTGGAGCAAAGTAGCTGGGTGACCAAGGTGGGTTGTGGAGCAAAGGAGCAGCAATAATGCCACCAGGAGATGGTGTGTGACAGACGTGCTGTGGTTGTGCTCCTGCTTCATGTGACTGGTGAACGTAGGTCAAATATCTGAGAGGTTTCATGGACTCAGTGTGAAAGTGTCTGCTCAGGGTCCTGGAACCAAGGTGGAAACCTGGCAGCAGGGGCCACAATCAACTGCTCTGCTTCTCCTCATGTTTCTCCCTCAGGGTAATGACAAATCAAAGCACAAAAGGTGCAGTACTGAGTGGGGAAAGAGTTCCCCATCCCCAAGGTCAGTCCCTGGAGGACACAGTTCATTATGTCACTCCTTAGATTCTTCTTATCACTGTCCAAGAGCTTGAAAAACTGCAGCAGTTGGGAGTGACCACAGGTCAGTCCTGAGAGCATCCTTGGCTGGTTGGTTGCAGTTGGATCAAGAGTTGTTATTTCTTTGCTGGCTGATGAGGTCTTGGAGCAATATAGAAATGATTAACACATCTAAACACACAGTAGAGTTTTTTTTTACTTCTTATTTAGATGAGTCTCTTCCTCTCCTCCTGTTGTGCAGGTAACTAGGATTTCTACCTCAACCCAATGTGACCTATGCAAGGACAACGTGGACCAACTTCACTCGGCTTCCACTGAAAGGTGCTCACCTGGCCTGTGCAGGGGTTTCTACTCTCTTACTACTGGACAAAATAAAAACATAAAAAAAGACCTAAACAACAGAGAAAAATATTTACTGTGAATCTGAGTTTAAAAGAAAAAAAAAAAAAAAAAGGCAAAAAAAACCAACTCACAAACAAAAGGCAAAAGAAAAGCTTAAAGCTCCAGTTTGTATTGTTGATAGTTTAGAGAAAGTATTTATCTTTTTTTAAAGTGCAACCAGTTTTGACTTATTTTATTCCACCTAGAACCATGAATACAACTTGTTATTAAATCCTCTGACTAACAAAGGACTGGCACACCAGCAGAGATGTAAAGAGCCTCCTTGGTGCTATTTCATCCGTTAGAACTGTGCCTCTAGTTTGAATCCTTGGTGCTGAACTTGGAGGGCTGACCAATGCCAATCCCAGGGCTCAGAAAGGTCTGCAAGTTTATTTATTCCCCTGACTCTGTTCATATACCAAAACCCCACTTGGTTTTGGCAGCAGTGGGAGCTCCAGAGAAAAGCAACTTGCCCTTTCCTGTTGCTTTTGAATTGGAGCTGAACCGAGTGCTCTGATAACTGGGTGGTTTGGGGTTTGTGTTGGTGACCTACAAGGTGTCACTGCTCCCCTCTGGGGTGGCAGGTGGTGCCTGGGGTGGCCCAGGTGAGCTTGGTCACCACAGGCACAGTTGGAACAGCAAGAAATTCAAGTCCTGCCCCATTGGAACTGCTTCACTGGGCCATTTGCAGTTGCTGGTGGCACTCAAGTCACTGTGAATTTTGGTAGCTAGTCTGGTCACTTGTCTGGGGACATTGTTGGCATATGAACAGGGTGCCTAGTCACTGGTATTGGTCAGGCCCTTTTTACCAACATTGGGGAAGACTTAACCTAGTGCTTCTGTACTGGTGCAGGTAGCAGATTTTCTCAGCTTGTTGTTTTTGTTCCAAGTACAATGTATTTTGTTTGTAGAGTTTTGATACTTGATTCAGGATGGCTTGGCCCTGTACATGGATTGACAAAGTGCATTTTGCTTTTGTATTTCTTTGCTTTTTTGAAGTAGGTAGTTCACAAAAACACCCCAATCTGGCTTCCTGTGCTGCCACCCCATCAAACTTGGTGCAGTTAATTGTCTTGTGACTTGATGTTCTGTGTGCAGAAAGGGCTGCTCTGAGCAGTGGATGTTATTTTATGGAGATGTGATGAAAACTTCTACCTTTCATATGCTTGATTTCCTTTCTTTTTAGATTGTACAATGGACAGTAACTTGTTAAAAAAAAAACCCACCAAACTTATTTATTTGAGTGCACAAAGTGAGGAGGAGGATGATCCATTAAGTAGAAATCATGCTGGTCTGGAGCTCAGACTGGACCAAGCACCAAGAAAGGAAACTACAGGAAAAGAAGGGGAATTGCAACAGTAAAATGACTGGAAGAAAAACACCTTTAGGCTTTGGGAAGCATTTGCCTGCAAGCCCTGGTGCTCTGAGGGGCAGCACTGGCTGCTCTGTGCCAGAGCCACTCACTGTCCTTAAATCCCTTGTAGGTCCCTAGTGCTCCCTAAGGAGTCTCCTCCTCCAGCAATGGGGCATCCCAGTAGACTTGAGCCACCAGAGGGAGCATCTCATGGTCACAAACAGCTGGGCTGGGAAGTTGTCCAACTCCTGTCCCTGTGGTGGATGTAGGGAAGATGCCTCTGCCCTGGAGTGCTCTGTCCTGCAGCCCCGATCCAGGAGGAATGTTTGTGAGCACCAGGAGAGGTGCTGTGGCAGCTCCTGCCCTCTGTGGACTTCAGCAGGCACCTTCTCCCTGCCAATCTTAGTAGAGATTTAGGACAAAGAGCAGTTATTTTGTTGATTCCCAAGTGTCTCTTCCATAGGCAGCCTTTGTGTGCAGAAACTGTTGGTCTGACTTTGCCTTCTTATTATTCCCTGGAAGGGGGAGGGATTGACAGCCCTGGAAATCAGGGACATTTTGGAAGTGTTTTGTGCTTTGCATGTGGGAGAGGACTTGACAGCAAGACAGTGTGTCCTGCTGAGTTCCTGCCAGCAAGATGAAATCCTGGCAAAGGTGCTGAGAGGGTGAGAGCTGAGAAACATCCAGTAGCTTCTAGTAGAAGCTGTACATGGTGTATGTCCTGGAATCCAGGAAGACAATGTAACCCAGATGTTTTGCAGCTGGGAGTTGGGCAGCTCCAGCTTCTTCCAGATCCTTGGAGAACTGGAAGTTGCAGAACTGCCTGAGCATCCATCCCAGCAGGCAGCAGAGTTGCTCAGGTCTTGGAAGGCTTTCAGTTGGTTGGCTGTGCCTGTGCAGTTGCTGGAGGGGCAGCAGCTTTGGTGACATCTCCCCCCCATTGTGGCAGGTTTACAGTTGGACTCGATGATGTTAAAGGTCTTTTGCAACCTAAATGACTCTAGAAGTCTCTGACCTTTTGGAGCAAAGGGTCTGGGCAAGGAGTTTGTCATCTGCTCTCTGGTGGGTATTGTGGAAGAGCAAAGCCCCTCTGGTCCCTCAGTGCCACCTGCAGCAGTGGGATCAGTAGTCCCTGGTGTCTCCTGCAGGACTTGCTCACCAGCCTCTGCTCCCTGGAGCTGAGCACACGTGTTCTGTCCAGATGTTTCCAGCTACCAGCATTTTCCATCTGTGACTCTCCAGCCATCATCTGGGAAGGCCAGAAGACACCAAGACACTGAGCCAGGAATAAGCTCCTAGTTGGGACTTAACTGAAGGGGATTCAGTCTGCTGGTCAACCTGTGGAGCATCTGCTTCAGTCTCCTGGGGTCTGTTGGGATCAGACCTTCATCTACCTCTGCATCCCCTCTGTGCTGTCATTCCCAGTGACCTGATGTTTCCACCTTGGCAGCCCATGCTGCAGGAGCCTGGAGCTTCTCTTGGCCTTGCCAGTGTCTTCCACCTCCATCTGGCTCCATCAACACCTTCCCATCCCATCCATTGCATCACCTCAGAGCTTTGCACTCTGATCTAAACCTTCCCAGTAATCCCCATGGAGATGTGACTCCAGGAAGGTGCCTGATGGTTGTAGGGAGCAGTGTGAGGTGGGAAGCCAGGAGAGTGCAGAGAGTGCCTCAGGACTGGGAGATGTTGTTGCCAAGAGGTTTGTGGTGTTGTCTTCCCCATCCCTGATCCTTGGTGGCTTTGCCACAATCGAGAGCAAGTTCAACTTGTTTCTCCTCCGCCTGCAAAATGGGGAGAGCACTTAGCAGAGCTGCTGAAGGAACAGCTTGGAGATGTTGAGATCTGATCCATATGGCTACAAGACCAAGACCCTCCTGACCCTCCTCTAGGAGAGCTGTGCCAGGGGTCTGAAACCTGCTCTCAATAATTGGAGACACTTTGGAGTAATCAAAGCCAAACAGCCCATCCCAAAGGAATTTCTTCTGCGTTACCACATCCTGCTGGGTCCAGTTGTTCCATGGATGTCACACGTGTTCCTCCTCCTCCAACACTGCTGCTGCCAGCAAGGGGCTCATCAGGAAGCTAAAATCCATCTTGGAGGACATGACATTGCCAGAAGAAAAAAGGAACTTCCTGAGTGTTGAGCTGAGCAAACCCTGTGCCCGCTGCTCAGTGTCAGCCTTGAGGAACAAGCCTTGCACCTTCTTCCTTTTTTGGTGCTTTGCTACCTCCCTCCAGTCCACTGAGACCCACCCAGCTGGGAGGCTGGGAGTGCTCCAGGAGCTCTGAACCTCACCTCCCTCTTTGCTACAGATGAGTCATTCAGCAACAATCCTTCCCTTGGCCAGGGAACACCAGGCAGGCAGCTCCTCTTGTGTAGCTGAGGGAGAAAGTGGGAAAACATTGCTGGAGGGTATGGAGGCTTGGACATGGTGAGCAGGATGATGGGAACTCAAACTGTCCCTTGTTTTGGTGCAAATGAAGCTGTTTCCTTTAGGATTTGATCTGGAAAACAATAATGATGGGAAGTGTCTTCACCTCAGGTTGTGGATGCAGTGGGAGGTGAAGCTGCCCACAAAGGGAGTGCAGCACATCCTGGGTGTAGGTGACATTTGGAGACAGCACCATCTCCATCTGCTGCCTTCTAGCAGCAGGAACTTGTGTCTTCTTGGCCAGACCAATGTAGAAATGTTTTCTTGTTCTTCCATCTCATTTCTTTCCAAGTGGCAACAGCTGCTTTAGCTTTTAACCCACCCTGCTCCAGGGTTGTGAAGCCTGAATTCCCCCTGTGCCTGGACTCGCTGGTGGGATGGGCACGTGGGGGTGAAGGTGAACTTGTAGGGTCTGAATCTGTGGTTGCACCTCAAGTACCCCAGGCAGGAAGGTTGCATCACTTGATCTCCAAGGGATCTACTAGTCACTGGTTTTGTGAACCCAGAGCTTTCAAATCCCCAGGGTGTGACACTTCCCAGCCTGAAACTCACCCCCTTGTTTGTCACACTCCTTGATCTCAGAGCGTTGAGCAGCTTTTTGCTTTGTTTAGTCAGACTTGATACCTGAGCAAGTTACTTCTTCATCTGGACTCTGCTGAGCAGAGGAGTTTCAGGCTTGATAAACTCTTCCATTTAATCTGGATCACATTCCAGGTTGGAGCATTTCCTTTGGTTCTGCTTGGCCATCAGGATTGGCTCCTGAGGTCCCTGCCTTCACCCTGCTGGGAGCAGGACTTTCCCTTTGAGAGGTGTTGGTGACACTTCTTCAGCCTCCTTCTTCAGGGCTTGGGCTAGATGGCCTCTGAAGGTCCTTTCCCACCCAAACCATTCCATGATTCTCTGGACAGACCTGGGATAGTCACTTTGCCTCAGAAAGCAAGTGGGAGGGTGTGAGTGGGAAGGAGATGGATGTGCTGGATCTGCTTCTCCTTCCAGGGCAGCACAGATCCACCCACACCCAACCCCGTGGGGCTGCAGCAGCTTTTGCAGGTTGGGTTCCCCACCCCATGAGTAATTTACTTCCCATGGTGTCAGGTTCTGTCCCATCCCAGCCCTCCCTGTGGAACAGGCTGTGTCTTCCCATACTCCTGGGTTTCCTCTTCCAGGAGAAGATCTCTTTATTCTGCAGTAATGATGCCACATCCAGGCAGTTTGGGGTTGTCTCCAGGGACCTGTGTGGGTTGATTCTTGCTAGGATTGTGTGTAAAGAAGCAGCATCTGCTCCC